AAAAAAAAAAAAAAAAAAAAAAAAAAAAAAATTTAAAAACCTGCTTTGTAATTTTTCATACAGTGTGATACCAAGACTGTAAATCCATTATTTTAGGTAGAAGATAAAAACGGCCACTAGTAACCTATTTATGAATTAAAAACAACTTCATGTAGAGTGGTGAATCACTGTGATTGTATTACCCAAAACTTTTTGGTCAGTTCATGCCATTGTTGGAGTGAAAAAGTTTCAAGTTGCCAGGGTGTTATAAACAACCATCCTTGCACCAGAGTCCAGCTATATCATATTCCAGTTATCTGGGACGCACAGGGAAACCACTCAATAAATACTTCTCTTTGAGCTTGCTACCATTTTTCTCTGGTTTCCATGTTCCTGAAGTAGGGCCACCTTATCAGTGACTCGTGTGTTTCTGTGGTCATTGCAGATAGAGTTTCATTAGTGGGATATTTTAACCTAGTCACTTGGCTTCAAAACATCCTCAGCTGTTGTTTTATTTTTAATGAAGTCATCTGATTTTGCAGTCTCAAAATTATGACTTTGGGTATGACTTAATTTAAAATCAGATTTTTGGAGGAGAAACATGTCATCATTTTATTAAAATCTGTCTGCACAGTTCAGGTTACTTGGGGCAATCCTGGCATGGAGTAACATAACACTGTTTCATCAGCATAAAGGCCCAGAGGAAGAACTTCTTCAAGATCAAAGATCATTAACAAATAAAGAAAAACAAAAGGCATAGATACAGTTTGTTAAGGCTTCTATGCTTGAAAGTCACTGATTTATCTGCTAATTTCATCTTCACACAAAAAAGAATTAGTTACATTTCTAAAGTAATTTCAAAAACTTTTCATAAGCAAAGATTTCTATTTATACTATTTAGTAGCTAAATAGCATGCTCCATATTAACTATATTAATTAGCAAGAGAAGACATAGGTAAAAAAGTAGTTCTAGAATTATGATGTTGAATGTAATGATGCTTCATTAATTCCTAATGAAGAGAGTGTGATTGTATTTTTTCCTCAGAACTTAATGAACTGATTTTGGCATGTACATTTAAC